TGAACCCGTGGGTTACACGGGTAACCCGACTCGTGGACTTAAAAAAAAAAAAAAAAAAAAAAAAATGTCGCGAATACAGAATACTCCGAGTCCGAATAGCAATAGGCGGAAATGCGGAATAGCTCTAAAGTCTCAAAGACCTAAAACCCCTATTCATACAATCACCGCTCCTCGCCTCCTGCCCTCCGGCCTCCTCCAGTCCTCACTCCTCGCAGTCAGCGCCTCGGGCCTCGGCCGACGGACGACGCCACTGCTCCTCGGCCCTCGCGAGCCGCGACCTGGACAGTTGGACCAGTGGACCACCGCTCCTCGCGACCTGGACCAGTGGACCACTGCTACAGTGCTGACTCCATCTGCTACTCTGCTAAACGCATAGACTGCTAGTCTGTTACCAGGTAATTTTTTTTATTAATTAATATTTTATTTAATTGTTATTCTTCAGTAGTTTAAAACTTTAAATGTATTGTTAATCATCAGGGTCTCTGGTTTATTCCCAATCCTTAAGTTTCCTTCTTTTTTAATTTTATCTATTAATTTACTGTTTTTTTATTGCTGAAATCTATTCTTCTTCATGGAGAGATAATGCTTGCAACAATGTCTGAAGTAATCTATCTGGGCTCTGTTCAATCAAACTTTTCTTTTTCTCCGGATGTGATTTTTACATCAGCACGGATTATATGGAAAGCATTAATGTGTATAATTGGCAGTGAATCTCCATTGCTACTTGTGCTTTCTGGAAGCATGAAACCTGGGTTCTAAAGGGTGAGAATTTATCAAGTTGTTAGTCTCGGTTGGGGTTTTCTCTCTCAAATATTTACGTGGACTGGGTTCATTGCCATTAGAGTTTATTGTCTCCCATGTTTACCTGCCAACTGAATCCCAAAGCTCTCCAGAGAATAGCCAGACAACCTTCGCAGTTGGTGAAGACATTGTGCTCCTTTGAGAATGAGCACCACGTGTTTGATAGAAGTCATACACCAGCTCTTAAGTCTATACACCATTCTATGCTTAATTTTATTCACCAAAGCCAATTTGAAGCTCTTAAAGTTTTCAAGAAACAGTTTCAAATGGGTGTCTCAGAGATTGATGAGGTTGCCATTGCATTAGCTCTCAAGGCCTGCAAAGGTGACTTGATATTTGGGTCTCAGTTACATAGTCTTACTATAAGAAGTGGATTCTTTTCTTATATTACCGTCCCGAATTCATTGATGAATATGTATTGCAAATCTGGACAGTTCAGTCATGCCATGCTTATTTTTGAGGACATGGAGAATCCTGATACTGTTTCATATAATACGGTGCTTTCTGGGTGTGAAAATGGAGGAGATGCATTGTGTTTTGCACATAGAATGCATGCACTTGGGGTTACTTTCGATGCAGTGAGTTATACAACAGCTCTCTCTCATTGTACGACTCAAGAAATGTTCATATTTGGAAGTCAGTTGCATTCTTGTGTAATGAAGTCCGGATTGGAATTTGAGGTTTTTATTGGGAATGCACTTGTGACTATGTATTTGAAGTGGGGGAAAATTGTAGAAGCTGAAAGAGTATTTTGTGAAATGCCAAGTAAAGACTTGGTTTCATGGAATGCCCTCCTCTCAGGGTATGCACAGGAAGGGAGTTATGCATTGGAAACTATTTTGGGGTTCATTGAAATGGTAAGAGAAGGCATGAAACCGGATCATGTGTCATTAACTAGTGCAGTTTCAGCTTGTGGTCAACAAAGAAATTTGGAATTTGGGAAGCAGATACATGGTTTTGCTATCAAGAGGGCCTACGAAACTCATGTTTCAGTTTGCAATGTTTTGATGGCATTGTATTCCAAGAGTGGTGATATAAATGATGCAAAGATGATTTTTCAAAGGATGACTGAACGAAATGTTGTATCTTGGACAACAATGCTTTCCATGAGTAAAGAGGATGCTATGACAATGTTTAATGAGATGCGGAGAAATGGCGTGTATCCTAATGATGTCACATTTGTTGGACTAATTCACGCCCTAACAATGAACAATATGATACCAGAAGGTTGTATGGTTCACGGGTTTTGTATGAAGTCAAACTTTTTCTCTGAATTAAATGTTGTCAATTGCTTTATAACCATGTATGGTAAGTTTGGGTTTATGGAAGACTCAAGGAAGGTCTTTGAAGAACTTGACCGTAAAGACATCATCTCTTGGAATGCTTTAATTTCAGGGTATGCTCAAAATGGGATGTATCAAGATGCTCTACAGATATTTTCATCCGCTATGATGGAGTCACGACTAAATGAATATACATTTGGGAGTGTCTTGAGTGCAATTGCTTCGTCTGAATCCATTTCTTTGAAGCATGGACTGCGATGTCATTGTTGCTTGATAAAGCTCGGCCTGCACACTAATCCAGTCACTTTTGGTGCCCTTCTTGACATGTATGCAAAACGTGGGAGTATCTTTGAATCCCAAAGAGTTTTTCATGAGATAGCTGAGAAAGGCCAAGTTTCATGGACAGCCATGATTTCGGCCCACTCAAGACATGGAGATTATGAATCCGTGATCTCTCTGTTTGAAGAGATGAAGCAGAAAGGCGTGAAGCCAGATTCCATAACGTTTCTCTCAGTTTTGACAGCATGTGGTCATAAAGGAATAGTTGATGTAGGGATTGAGATTTTTAACTCAATGACGAGAGATTTCTCAATCAAACCATCCGCAGAGCATTACTCTTGTGTGGTTGATATGTTGGGCCGTGCAGGGCGGCTAAACGAGGCTGAGCAATTCATGTCCCAAATTCCAGGAGGACCGGGTATCTCTGTACTTCAAAGCCTGCTTGGTTCTTGCAGGACTCATGGCAATGTAGAGATGGCTAAGAAGGTAGGCGAAGCCCTGATCGCTTTGGAACCCGAGCATTCAGGTTCGTACGTGTTGATGTCGAATTTGTATGCTGAGAAGGGGCAGTGGGAGAAGGTAGCAAACATCAGAAAAGGGATGAGATCTAGGGGAGTGAAGAAAGAGGTTGCATTTAGTTGGGTTGATGTAGGAAGCATTGATGATTCCCTGAATCTGCATGGGTTTTCATCAGATGACAAGTCCCACCCATTGTCTGAAGAAATTTATAGGATGGTGGGGTGGCTTGGATCAGAGATGAAACATTTAGTGGAAGATGAAGATGATAGATACAACAAGTTTGTAGCATGTGGTCATATTTGACTCAAAAGGCAGAGTAGTTCCATTTTTGAGATTATAATTGTAGTTGTACTAAAAATATTCAGAATAGTCATATGATATTTGTATGTTTACTTTTTTTTTTTTTTTTTAAATAATAATTATTTGATATTCATGTGTAATAGCTTGCAAACTACACAGGAGAGATAAACTGCACTAGAAAAATACAGATTTGACCGAGAAGGTGTTGGTAATAGTTAGACACTCAGATTTGTAACCTTTATGTACGAAAGTCGTGCTCTATCCCCACACCAACCCGGTTTGAGCCATCTAATGCTTAGTTGTATATATATAGACTGTACAATTAGAATAGCCACAGTTTTTGTTTTGTAACTTTTTTCTTCATATTAAATGGAAGAAATAATTAGTCTTTTTTCAATAAAAGTTTTCTCTATTAGTTGTGTTCATTTATGAAATTTATGACATTCTATTATATAACTCTCTCTCCTTTATTTTATTAGTCCTATTTACTATTTATTTATAAAGTCACTTAGAATTTTTTTATTTTTTTTGTATTTAATAGTTTTTTTAATGTAATTTTTAAATATATGAATTTTATATGCTACTATTAAATTTAATATTATGAAAAATCAAATTATAAATAACTTCAATCAAGAACCAAATCTTACCAGCTAAGAATGGCATTATGGCACTATGGTGGCCATGCAATAATCATCGCCATCTAAATAGCGCAACAATTTGTCTCTTTATAAATATATCTGATTTCAAAACCTTCAACCCTTGTGCTTAGGTTCTTTGATCGCGTTAATAAGATGGAGGCCAAATTTTGCAATATCACGATCATTTTGTGCTTATGCTATAATTATTGATTGTTCTATGTTTAAGGGTATCTATTAACCACTATAAAAAATTTATACGGAGCACTATTTATAGAAAACTTCTTTTACTTGATGGGATATTTGGATGACTTGTTGCACTATCATATTAGATTGAACGATAGCTTAAGCTTAATGTCTGACACGTAAAAATTTAAGTCTATAGATAAAACAGTGCCAGTACGGAACCACCTTAGTTGGCGTGAGAATCCATTCACTCTTATTCTTTAAGAAAGGTCGGGAGTTTGAACTCCCTCACGTATGAAAAAATCAATCTACCCAACACTATGACCCTTAATTGGAGTGCGAATGAGAATTAATCCGAGTATGGCAAATTATATCATGCACCGCGGTACATAATCGATTATGCATCGCGCATCAAAATGACGTCGTTTCATTTAATGAAAAGAAATGGAATCCGTTTCGCGCCGTTCCGCAAAAAATAACTCTATTCTTCAATTTCATTTTGTATACACTGCAGTTTCAGTTCAACACAACTACAGTTTCATTTCGATATAATTACAATTTCATTCAATATTTATACACTCAAATATGTGAAAATGTTATTTAATTTAATTTTATATACACTATAGTTTCATTAAAACACAAATACATAATCGTTTCGATATAATTACAGCTTCATTGTACAATATACACTCAAATATGTGAAATGTTATTCAGTTTCATTTTATATGTACTGCAGTTTCATTTCATCACAACTACAATATCATTTTCATATAACTGCAGTTTCATTTGATAATATAAAAATAATACGTGAGGCAGTGTCGGTTTAGATACACTATAGTATCACTCCGTTAACATTAACAACGCGCCGATTCTTTACTTAAAGAAACGGCGCCGTTTTGATCCACGGTGCATAATCGATTATGCACTGCGGTCCACGATATAACGACTGTCTGAGTATGGTACAAGCTTAAAAGTGACTCTTACAATTAGGACTTGCTCAGGACATCTCGTGATTTAACCCAAAAAAAATGTCAATTACGGAAATTAAGGAAGCATGGTGGCTTAAACAAAGGATGCACGGCCTTTATGATACAGTGGCAAGTTATAACGTGCATGATGACACTCATTTTACGTGTTTCTCAGTGTCACTATCTTGATAGATAACTGGTATACTCTACCTAGTTTAGGACAATAATAAAACACAGGAAAAAAGCGTTTTGCGTGCCTCCTCCAACCATCTCTCCAAAAGAAGTGAAGGAGGAGATACCAAGAAACAGGACATAGAAAAGATTAAAACTCACTTGGTAATCTCCACCCATTCTTTGTGATTTCCCCTTATCAGCAATGTATTCACAGAGCATTCTTATTATATTCAACAGATTCTTCTCAAGTTTATATGGATTTTACCCAAATGTAACTTTTAGGTCTGGTTTAGTGTTAATCCAGTAGCCAAAAACAATCATTTCTTGGTTTTTTTCTGTTCTTGTTCAATCAAAGACTGGATTTTTAGACTATTTCTGCATTACCCATTTCTGTTTTCTATGAAATATCAGGTTATGGAGTTCATAGTTGTCTAGGTTATAGAAAACCGAGGAGGTTTTTGTATGCTTTTATTAAGTTGAACCTTAAGTCTTCTATGAATCCAGGCTTTGGATATAGCAGAGTGACAACCAAAAGAAAAATTTAGATTGGATTTGGTATTTAAGGATATGGGTAGGAGAAGAATAAGAGATTTGGGAGAGAAGGAAGATGGGTTGTGTCTGAATTCTGGGATTGGGTTTCTGTGGTGTCCCCAAGATGAAGGCTATCACCCTGGTGGATACTTTGCAAGTATGTGGCAGATGGGGATGGGATTTGGGATATCCCATAGTCTGCAAAGCTCTTCTGAAAATCTCCCGCGATTGAATGTGTTTGGGCAGTACAAGGCACCCGAAGCCAGTTTAAAGGAGAGTGGATTCCCTGAGTTAGCGGGAACTGAAGCTGTGGAGGTGAAAGAGAAATGGGGGCAGAAGAAACAGAAGAAGAAAGGGGTTGGTCTTAGATGGAGGGTTAAGGTTGGGAATCCATCTTTGAGAAAGTTGATCAGTGGGGCAATTGCAGGCGCGGTCTCGAGGACATCAGTTGCTCCATTGGAGACAATAAGGACTCATATGATGGTGGGGAACTATGGGCACTCAACAAATGAAGTGTTTCAGAATATCATGAAGAATGAAGGGTGGAAAGGGCTGTTCAGTGGAAATCTGGTCAATGTAATAAGAGTGGCACCAAGCAAGGCCATAGAGGTATGGTATCTCATTTCTCTGTATCAGAAAGTTTGGGTTAGTCTGTTGTTTACTCTAGAATCATTGTTTCAAATGATTCACCATTGCTGTATATTTTTGTGATGATGCATGCAGTTATTTGTATATGAGACCTTCAAAACGCGATTGACGTCTAAACCAGATGAACAGCCCAGATTACCTGGACCTGCTTCTCTGATCTCGGGCGCTGTTGCTGGAATTAGCTCGACGTTGTGCACCTACCCACTTGAGCTGCTAAAAACGCGACTCACTGTTCAGGTATCCTGCATATATCCAGTTCTCGTATGTATTCGATCTCGAATTTAGATTCTTGAACTGACTTGTCTGCCTGCAAATATGGCAGAGGGGTGTATACAAAAACGTGTTGGATGCATTGGTTAAAATCGTGAAAGAGGAAGGGCCTGCAGAGCTATACAGAGGGCTCACTCCAAGCCTAATTGGAGTGATTCCATATGCAGCCACAAACTATTATGCATATGACACATTAAGGAAAGCTTACAGGCAGATCTTCAAGCAAGAAGAGATTGGGAACATGGCAACTCTGTTGATTGGCTCAGCAGCCGGCGCCATCTCTGGTGGCGTGACTTTCCCCCTCGAGGTGGCTCGGAAACACATGCAAGCTGGAGCTCTCAATGGTAGGCAATACCACAACATGCTTCATGCCCTTATAAGCATTCTGGAACATGAAGGTGTCCTGGGTCTTTACAGGGGTTTGGGGCCAAGCTGCCTGAAATTGGTCCCTGCTGCTGGAATTTCTTTCATGTGTTATGAGGCATGCAAGAAGATATTGGTTGAGCATGAAAATGCCGATTAGATAGTGTGTATTTTTTCCTACTTTTTCAAGCATCTTTTCAATCTTTACAGAGCACTTGGAATCAGCTTTCAATTTGAAGCAAGCCTTCATATATATTACATGAAAAGAGATGTCAAGTAAACAAAATTGCATTTTTCATAACGATGGTTATGTTCATTTCAGCAATTCTAAGAGCAACATATTTGTGGTATTAGCAACGAAAAAAACATTAAGCCAAAAACTTGACTTGAGAAGAAACATTAAGGAAGACAATGTTGGTGGGAATGATGTTCAACTCAGTTCATCACCAGCTTGGTCCTTCTCAGCAGCTGCTGCAATTGTTTCATCGAATTTTTCACTCTTCCCCAGCACTATCTCAATCTAAAAACAAGAAAACACCAGGCACATTATCAAGCTCGAGATACAATTAATAGATCATTGAAAATGAGTACTGCAAGTGGTCAGTTGCTTAAATGAATGTGAAATCAATGGCTGCAGCCCTGCAGTGCTAGTGTGTTACACCTAGAGTTACAGTCCTACTACTAAAAATTAGATCATATTCTCAATACAGAACTTACTTTGGCTTTTGTGATTGGTCGCCCTCTTGAATCATCTCGAACATCAACAGTAGATGTCATGATCTCTGCAATACAACCATTATTTGTCTCAGCATTTCGGGAAATAACAACTATGGAGTATGAAGTAACTGAGTACTGCTTTCAAAAAAAAAAAAAAAGTAACTGAGTACTAAAATTCTTACTCTTTTCAACAGCCAATCCATTGTTCTTCAGAATTTCAGTTACTGAGACTACAGTGGCAATAGCTGCAATACAAACAGGAGTTCATCAACTACACAAAATAGAAAAATGTTCTGCCATAGCCCAAAGTGTAAGAGGCATATAACTTGTGGAGCTTCATGTAGCATTTTGTCCAATAAAACAATCCAAATTAGAATCAATGCTCATCTCAACACCCAATTAACAAACTACATCCTTCAAGCAGGATACCCAAACGAACAACATAAAATTCAGGATGAGATATCATAGCCAACTCAGATATTAATCAGTTTTTATTATATGATCCTGGGAGCACATAACTTCATACACACTGTCAATCATGTTCATATGCTATCTTGTAATCATCTCAGCATTAATGTATTAGCATATCAGTCCAAAATAGTCTCTTATTGATAAGAAAAAACATAGCTGACACTAACTAAACACACAGACACATTACAATCATTAGGGATACATAAATTTGAAAACAGTTGTTGAATTAAGGAACCAAAACTGGTGAATCTGCCAGGGATATGGAGCCATACCCATTCCAAGCCCAGAAAGCTCCACCTCATTGTGCTGCTGCATATACCTCTGCAGAAAACTCACAAATCCCAAAATCAATTATCCAATCACACATATATACCCATTATCACAAATATATATGTATGCTACTTAATATATTATATATAAGGAGTAATACACACACAAACACACAAACACACAAACAAACAAAGAGATTATTCATTTTTAGCTACAGATCCAGAAAACAAACAGCAATACTTCACATGCATACACTTATACACAAATTCATCGCCAAATGCAAATGAAAAAACCATTGCCAGTCTCAGACATCATACCTTGGCAAGATTGACATAGAAGAAGAGGGGTTTCTTAGTGTTGGAGACCTGAATACGGTTCTTCTTCTGAAGGTCACCGCTAGCGATGTTAATGTTGTTGACTCCCTCAGTTATCTCCTCCATTACTGATTCGTGATTCCCTTCAAATGAACCCTAACCCTTCAAATTACAGAGAGAAAAAAGGAATATGCTTAAGAGAATGAGAGAATCAAGCAAAGTATAAATTTTGTACTCAGGAAACCCGAAACCGCCCTTGAAACCTAGAGTAAGATTTTTGTAGAAATTTTGTTGAAAATTGATTAATAAATAGAATTATTAGTATTTTATTAATTATTATATTAGACTTAGTTTTTTTTGTAGGTGCATTGCGTGATTGGGATAATGTCCAATATTTTTCTTAAATAAGTATTTTAAAATATATCAAAGCAAGATTATATTAGAATTGTTCATGCATAGATAATTGAATGTTGAATTTGCATACTAAATGGGTAATTCTAAATTTACAAATGCAAGATAATATAGTCAAGATTGATAATAATTGTTAATAAAATAATTGTAAGGGTATGGTTGAAACCAAATACGGGATATAAGGGAGAACAAATAAAAATTAAAACATAAAATATTAAATATATACTAATATTGTTTGAGCATATTCCGGCAGTAAGATTTGTGGTTAGAGTTCTATTAAGACTTTAATATTATAATTACATTAATGTTGTAGTTATAATTTTATATTAGACTTTAATATTAGAATTAGACTAACGGTGAATTAACGTACTTAATGAAAAAGTTAACGGATCGGACTTTGATTAAATTAACGTACTTAATAAGAGTAAAATAGAGTACTAATTATGCCAACTTTAATTGAGATGTGGTTCAAACCTAAGACATTTCTTATTGAAATCAATGAGTAAGTTAACAGTGAACTATCTGATCAATCTGAGCCATTAATTTGATTAAAAAATTTAACCGCCATTTTTTCTACCCATTATAGGTCTAACTCTCTTGGACTCTTTTTAGTATAGTAGATATGGTAGATATTATTAGTATTGTTGTTGCTAAATAGTTTGTAGCTCTCCACATTCTAATAGAGTTAGTAGTCCTAAAAAAAAATAAATTATTATTAAACATTGTATAAACTTTTATTTGATTAATTCATATAATAACCAACTCAAGAGAGACTAATAAGTATAAATTATTATTATTATTATTATTATTATTATTATTATTATTATTATTATTATTATTAAGGAAATTGGCTATTCGCGATAGGTTTAATAGAAGGTAGAGGTGTCCATGCAACTATTCTGGACCGAACTAGCCCTGAATCGGTTGGGAAAAAGCTGGGTCTAGGTTTCACAGGGTTTAGATCGAGCTTAGTTCGGACCGGTACCTGCTAGTACAGGATCGGTTAAGGCAATTTATATCGTGGACCAGGGTCCACACAACATTGTGGACCCTGAATCAAAACGACGTCGTTTGATATGTAAGTTTTAACAGATTCTGTAACTTTCTGTTTCTCATGTTTCAACATAAAATCTTAATTTATTCAATGCACATAATATGTACACTTAATGTACAGAAATGCATAAAACGATATACATACACATATTTTTTATTTTTATTTATTCTCAAATCTAATTTGTGTAAATAATTTATGTCATATAGGCACATAATAATTAAATAAGAGTAAAAGACATTTTTGGTCCTAAACTTATAGAGGCACGAACAATTTTAGTCCTCCATAAAAAAAATCAGACAATTTGTGGACATTCTTATTGTAACGAGGACAATTTTGGTCCTCCGTCTGCATTCCCGTTAGATGGCTATTTGAAAGGAGGGTATTATCTATCACAAGCTTAATAGCACTAAATGTATTAGTAATTGAAACCTCACCTAATCATTAAGATACCAAATGTTAATGTCATAGGATTTTTTTTTTAAATCTTAAATAAAAAATCATGTAATATATTTAGAAAGCAACACAAGTCAAGATAAATTTTGACATTTACCATTATATATCTTTGCACGGCACATTTGAATTATCAAAACAATAGGTTCAGGGTTTGGGTGGTTCACAAGTGGAGCAACAATTCAACATATTCGTCCCAAAAGGTACACCTTAAAGATTTATCCCTTTATAAAATAAAATAAAGCATAGTTGTTTTAAAAGTAATAAGATAGAGGAATAAAACAAGTAAACAACTATATATAATATGAAAATGTATAACTTAAACATAACTTAGTGATGATCTTGAATAACAATCTCCATGAATCTTTTCTCTCGGCCATTGACTAATGTAGTGCAGGGTGATTGCATAGACACAGGGACGGAGCCAGAGGGGGGCAGGGGGGCCGCTGCCCCCACCCCATATATAGTCTTTGTATAATTGTATGTATATATATATATATATATATATATAGTACAGATTTTAGTATTAGTATTAAAAAAACTACTAAATGTTAACAAGAGGTGAGTTAGAGTAGTTGGTAGAGCATGTGTTTGAAAATAGTAAAGGTTTTAAGGGTTCAAATCTTGCTATCAACAATTAGTTTTAAATAGCCTTTTGTGTATTTAATACCCACACACATATATATAACATTCTTTTATATTAATAATGAGATGTATAATTTATAATATGATGTATATTCAAATTATTTTATTAAATTAATTATGTTTCATATTTTGTTATTAATATTTTTATAAAGTTTCGATGCGTTTTATTTTTCGTTCATATCCAACAATATTTACAACTATATTTCTTAGGTAAATAATGAGATGGATAATTTATAATGTGTTTTCTATTCAAATTAATTATGTTTCATATTTTGTTATGAATATTTTTATAAAGTTTTGATGTGTTTTATTTTTCGTCCATATCCAACAATATTTACAACTATATTTCTTAGGTAATTTATTTATTTATTTTTAAACTATCTCTTTTGTTTTAATGTTTCGCATTTACTGGAAAAATTTTCTGAATCCGTCTGCACTTTTTCGCCCCCCCTCAATCGAATTTCTGGCTCCGTCCCTGCATAGACACAATAAAGCCAATCAAATCTATCTATTTTAACAAATACATTAATGTGAATGAGTAAATGTGACAACATACGTTAAAAGATGAAATTACCATATAATGTAACAATATGACCAAATAACTCTGAAGAAATGATCTGTTCTGGTTTAAGTTGGCCAAACTCCTTGAATCTATAGATGTTGTTTGGGAACTATTATTTGCATGATCAGTGACTTCTGTGCCTCGCATGGAACTGATCATGTATTTGTGTTGGGTGGTTTTGAATGACATTGAGTTGTTCGAGACAATGAAGTTTCTAATCGCATACAAAGAGTCCTCATTGAGGATACACTTGAATTTTTCAACATGTTCTTGTTTGAATGTCAAGTGTATATGTGTACCTTAATATATTAATTAATTACAAAATTTGAATGAATAAAAAAATAAAATATATAATTTTTTTTAATGATGATA